GTTGAAGGCGGCACCCTAGGTGACTGCCAAGTCGGCCTATACTCACAGGCCGCCCCTGCCTCCGCCTTTGAAGAGCAAGAGCCCCACCAACTCTTGCTGTATTTCAAAGGTGGAAGTGTTGCCAGTTCCCCGCTGCGGCTCTGCCTCCCGAGACAGCTTTTAAACTGGCTCCCCCCAGCACTGGCTCCTGCTCTCTCCCTTGCTGCCTCTCTCTAATAGAGGCAGCAAGGAGGGCGAAGTGACTAGTCAAGTCACTAGTTGACTAGTCGCTTACCTCCCTAGCTCCAACCTTGCCAAGCCCCTGAGCGGGGCTGCTGGTTCCCAACCCACGCATTTAACCAGTTAAATAATTAAATGGAATTTTACTTTCTTAAAGTGGAATACTTTGCATTTGTCCTTAATGGATTACTTAAACTGGAATACTTTGCATTTGTCCTTAATGGATTTCATGAGTGTCTAAACCAGTCACATATGTATAGGTAGTTAGCACAACTGTAGTTTGGCTCTAAAATATTATCTGACTAGACATCATTACACTATAATTCCACCTTTATAGCTATGTTTGAATGGAATGTGGAACACCAAGTACTATTGAAAACTGAGTCTGGTAGATAAACAAATATACTTTATTTTAACAGGCAACAGATTTTATAAACCAAGTAGTTTTGAAATCCCCCAAATTAGATCCCAGACATAATTTCTTTTAAAACAGCCCTCCCTGCCTCAAGAGAACATCAGCAGCTGCTTATTTTACACCCAAAGGGATTTAATATTGCATTCTGATGCTTGTAGACTTTATTTCATGTTCAGTAGGCCAACCCAAATGATGATTCTGAAAAAATCAACTTATGTTAAATTGATCAAACTTAATCACAAATAGAAATATTCAATTTGCCAAACAAAAGATTGATTGATAAGAAAAATAACTTATGTTTAGTTGTATTGGAATGATTTTTAAAAGAGTAAACAATTCAGGTTATTTTTTAAAAACTGCAGATATGTGCATCCTTTCCAACTTCCAGTTTCAAGTACCTAAACTTCCCTGTATCTTAATAATTGTAGATTAAATTATGTTTAACGGTGTTACTTGACTCTAATTAGATTGTAATTTATAAAAATTACTGACTTTCCCCAATCTGAGTCAATGCCTGCCTGCCATATGTAAAGTAGGAACAAATTTAGAAAACAGGGATGTATAATCTTCCTTTTTACATACCTTGAAGTAAAAGTTGTTGAAATTATGGGAAACAATGTTTTGTTCATTAATGTCAGTGTTTTATTAACTGAAACTTTTGAAAGTACTTGGGATTTCACTGCTTTCTTATACTCTTGTAAATAATTTTGTGATCTAACAAATATCTTCTTATATTGCATATTTTCCATCATAGAAGTTTGTATTTTCTAATCTCTGTAAAACTTGCCAGAATGTATAGTATTGTCTAATAATGACAAACGATGGTAGTAGCACAAGACCAAATTTGTTGTTAAATGATAATTTGCCAAGAGCTGGAAATAGGTCACTTGATAACCTGTTCATTTCCTCTAAAGTATCTTACATTGATTGGCTACTGTTGGAAGACAGACTACTGGACTAGATGGACCTTTCATCTGACCCAACATGGCCATTCTTATGTTCTTAATACATGCTGGGTTGTTGTTTTTGAAAACTAAGTTAAAACTGATTGTAGTTCAGCAAACTTTAATTTATATTATCAAGTCTCATAAAACTGAAACTTTTGATGATTTTAAAAAAGTGTACTTAATACAATTCCAATACCCTCATTGTACCCTAACTTCAATTACAGTATAAGGGTTTTTTTAACAATACTTGATCTACCCTGCAGTCAGATTGAAGTAATAGGACTCCACTTGGGTGTAAAGATTCCACCCATCTGGATCTGACATCACAATTGGGCATTAGCAAAGCTTTCTATTGTTGCAGCATAGCTAAAGTATGAAGATGAGACTGAACTGGATCTAAACAAAGCAAATGTTTCACAAGTAAAGGCAACAGGTGGTAGTCTTTGCAGGGTAGTCACAGACTGTACAGCAAAATCACAGAACAGGAAGTACTTTGTTCTGTTTTTATCTTTAGCAAATTCCACCTAGTTTATGTCCCCCTACCATGTAACAGTTTTTGTTTTTTAAATACATACCAGAAGCCTCATCCCAACAACTTTGATAGAAACCTGGTATTTATATAAATCAGGAAGCAAAACAGTGAACATCTGGCAATGAGGAATGCTTTTGTAATGCTGAGAGGCAGAACCAAACCTAGGACCTCTGGATTTTAGTGTGTGAGCCTCTACTGCAGGGGTGGGGAACCTAAGGCCCCAGGAGCCAAATCTGCCCCCCCCCCTCCAGTTCTGGGGAGCTCACACCAGTCTGCTTGCTATTCTCTGTCCTCCTGTAGAGCTGTAGTACACAAAATCTACTACTCCCCCCACCCCCAGTCTCTGGTGTGTGACGGGATTGTGGGGAGTCTCTTTCTCCTCAATTGGGAACCACGTCAGGGAAGGTTTGGTGGTTTTTTGCGGCTTTTTTTTTTGGTTCTCACTGATGTGCAGCCCCCAACTGATTTTTCTGTGGGTCAGCAACCCCCCGCCCAAAAAAGGTTCCCCACCCTTGCTCTACTGAGTTAAAAGCCAGCTGGCACTCAACTAAAACTGTAGAGCTGACTTTTATTTTTCCTGTAAGTAGTCTTGGTGCCAATAGGTAGGACAGTACAGTAATTCCTCATTTAACACGGTAGATACGTTTCAGAAAATGATCATGTTATGCAGGGTCAATTTTCCCATTGAAAATAATGGAAAAGGTGGGGGTTGCGTTTCAAGCAGTGGGGAATGGGGAAACCCAGCTGCTGGCCTGCAAGCTGGGTTGGAGGAGAGGGAGCAAGGCGTCCGGCGAGAGGGGGTCTCCAAGGAACGGCACGGCAAGCAGCAAACCGCGAACCCTCCAACGCTTTGAAGGGAGGCAGGGGAAGCCCCGTGCAGCCGGCGGTGACCGGCCAGCTGGGAAAACTCAGCCGCTGACCTGCAAGCAGGGACGGAGGAGAGGGAGCAAGGTGTCCAGTGAGAAGGGGTTGCTGGGGAACAGCGTGGCAAACCCTCCACCACTTTGCAGGGAGGAGAGGGAAGCTGCACGTAGCCACAAGTGACCAGCCAGCTGGGGAAACCATGTTATTCCAGGGACGGTCGTGATATTCTAAAAAACATTCCCCCCCCCAAAAAAAATTGTGCTATCGCGAAAACGTGTTAAGTGGGCACATGTTAAGCAAGTAATTACTGTACACCACACCCAACAAGTATGTGGGTTACACTTTTATTCATGCTTAATTTTACATCTATGAGTAGAGCCCTGCAATTCCACAGATATCCATTTTATATCTGCAGGTATCCACATCAGTGGCTGTGGATATTGGCAGTTTGTTTTTGCAGATATGGATGCAGATACAAATTCTGTTTCTAGAACCCCGCAAATTGCAGATATCAGCTTTGTAGCCACAGATGTCAGTTCAGATATCCATAGTTCATTTTTGCGGACACAGATGCAAATTTTGTACTGATGCAGGATGTGTATTTATTTTCTGGATTTAAGCCTAATTTATTCCAGTAACTGTGTTCTCTCCCTAAACTCTCAGAGCTATATAGAAAGGATTCAAAGTTTTGAAAATTGGTTTAAGTTTCAGCTGTCTGAAAGTCTGATACCCACTATAGCAAGAAAACAGTATTTTTTTAAAAACCGCACCTTAAGAGGTGTGATGTAAGTCTCCTCGGAGAGATTTCGGTAAAAACTGTGACAGGGGCGGTGCGTACAGCTCCGCAGGGCCCTGATTCTCGTGTCAGCTACTGCTCTCTGCAAGGCCACTCGGCTCCCAGCTTCTGAGCCATGGAGCCCCAAGCCCCACCTCTCCCCAGCCTCCCTGCAACTCCTCAGCCTGCTGCCCTCTCCAGCCGCCCTCTGCCTAACCTCCAAAGCTACCCACTGTCCCCAGGCCCCGGCTGCCCTCCAGTGGCTGGAACCTGGGACCCTTGGGAGCGGGAGCCCGCGGGGAGACACCGCGCCCTGCCCCGAGAGAGGCCCCCTGGGCTGTGGCGCAGCAGGGCTCGGCGTGGGAGCAGCGCCTGCGCGCCTGTCCCGCCTGCTCGCCGTGGCCCAGCGCTGGGACCGGCCGCAGCAGGCCGG